TATATATATATATATATAAATCATTTGTAACATTGTAAATATCTTTATAGTTACTTTTTGATCAATTCAATGCATTTTTCTTTAAAAAATTAAATAAATAAATTGTAAGCTTTAAATGTATTTACCGACACTTTTTAATACACCCGTGCTGAATAAAACTATTAATTTCTTTAAAATAATTATAACAATAAATAAATAAACAAACTTTTGAATGCTGGTGTATGTGAGCATTTGAGAATTTTTTTTTTGCGTGACTAATGTGGACAATGTGCTGTGGCTTGGGCTTGTGTGTTTGCTAACCAAATATTTATTTATTTACTTGGATTGTTGAAAAGAGTTGTGCATTGTTATTATTATTATTATTATTATTTATTTTTCTTGAAAACCATGATACTTTTTTCAGGATTCTCTAATGATATAAGTATTTTTTTTAAATAGTAATCTTTTATAACATTGTAAATTACTTTATAGTTACTTTTGAGCAATTTAACACACATTTTCTTAAAAAAAATCTTACTGACACCACACATTTGAATGGTAGTATGTATTCACACGTGTTACACTGAAAAAAATGTTTCCAACAAAAATGTACTTAAAACAAGATCAATTTAACTAAGAAGCAAAACTGCGTAAGACATTAAAAATTACATTTGAAATTAAATGCTTTCCTCCTGGTTATAGCTTAAATGGATAGATAGACCTTCATGTCGTTCCAAACCTGTATGACTTTCTTTTTCCAAAAAAGAAGATATTTTGAGGAATTGTTTATGGAATTGTTTTTGTCCAAACAATGATGGTCAATAAGGTACAAAACAACAATGGACCCTATTAACTTTCAGTGTATTGATTAAAAAAACACAAAATATCTTAGTTTTGCTTTTCCACTAAATTCATCTTGTTTCTTTTTTCTCTTGCAGTGTTCCTGGGGGTGAAGAATCTCAGCACGTACCAGGTGCTCAGTAGCAGCTTGTGTGCCCAGTGGCAACCTCACCGCCATGCCACCGTCTACAGAGTCGTCATCGAGTCACTGCTCAGTGAGTAATACACACATCCACACACACACACACACACACACACACACACACACACACTCAGAACTCAAACACAGAACAAAACCATAAGGTGGCTTCCTGTTTTGCAATATTGACATAAATTTCAGTTTCAGAGGTAATGGGATATTATGGCTCATTTCAGCACAGACCTCTCAGCCTCTGGGCTGTTCAACAAAACTATTTTATTGTATGCATATTGCTCTGCTGGCATGTGACATGGTTTCGATTCAAATTTAAAACAGCAGAGTCAAAAGCCCTTTTCCCGTTATTGCTTTTCTTATTCCTGCCTGATACCTCGCCGGCCCAGCTTATCTCACAATCCTGGAAATCTTCTGTTCCACTTCCAGCGTGTGACTGCTCAGATGGCTACCAGCTCAGTAATGCTATTAAAACCAGATCCTGCCTGAAGCCCCAGTGTGTGTGTGTGTGCGCGCATGTGTATGAAGTATTTGAATGACAGTCATTGCAGTACTCAAAGAAACAGAACTGTAGAAGAGATGTAAGAAACTTCAGTTACTTTTCAGTTTATTTTGACAGTGAAACCCTGAAAATTAAATTCTCAAATATGATCTGGGCTGATAATAGCTTTTAGATCATAATCTAAAAATAATAAGAACAAAAAAGTGATTTTTTTAACATTTTTATTAATAATTACCAATAACTACCTTTTTTAATACTTTTATCCAGCAAGGATGCATTAAATTGACCAGAATGACAGTAAATACATAAAAAAAATGTTACAGAAGATTTCTATTTCAAATAAATACAGTCCTTTGAACTTTCTATTCATCAAAGAATACTGCCAACAACAACAAAAAAAAATCACAGTGTATCGTGGTTATTATAAGAATATTAAGCTGCAAATGCTTTCAACATTAATAATAAGAAGAAATGTTTCTTGAGCAGCAAATTAGCATTTGATATCTGAAGAATCATGTGACACCGAAGACTGGAGTAATGGCAACACAGAAAAAAAAAAAAATATATATATATAAAAAAGAATAATTGTAACAATATTTAACAATTTTATCAGTTTAACAGTTTTTACTGTATTTTTGATGACATGAATACAGCTTTAGTGAGTATAAGAGTCTTCTTTATAGGACATAAAAAATACAGACCAGTAACTTTTTGAAATGGTAGTGCAAATACTGAATTAATTGTAAATAAATAAATATATTTAAATATATAATATAATATAATAGTTTAAAGCTATTTCTATCCGTTGTTCCAAATTAGAAAGATTTTTGTTAAAGCGGTGGAGAAAAAAGTTGTAATTGCAGAATAACAGAGACAGCTTATTACCCTGTAGTCATGGTAAACTATGCCTACACATATATATCAAAACTACTGCGGAAGTGTGTGAGAAGACTAAATGTGAATATATACGTATTTTGCAGTACTAAGATCCCTGCTGCTTTTCTTCTGGCCCTCTTCTAGTCAAATAATGTCCAAACTTTGGTAACCAGTAGGAACAGCAGATTCATTTCTTGCCATCTTACTCGTAGGGAGAATTTGGCTGTGGAATTTCAGCCAGACATATGAATCTTCAGCACCGAGCGCTCGTGGTGAAGTGAAGCGTTCCTGCGTGCAAATGCGAGGAAAGGGAGGAACTGTCCTGCTTGTGCCAGAGATGTGACTGGACTGAGAAGTGCAGTCTGTTGAAACAAACGCTTAAAGGAGGATAGAGGTTTACTGAGCCGAGCTGGAGCGCTTGCCAGCTACTTTTCCATAGAGCGGGAACGTAATAGGCAAATGTCACATCCCATTGTTTGATCAGCTCCGCAATCAAAGCATGTCTGAGCAAGGGAATATCGTTGATCTTATTATCACATCCCAATTTTTGCAGTCCACATTATCATTGGAAAATGCAAAGAAAATACCTCAATTTTTATATAATGCACTCTAGAGACGTTTTCTTTCAAGATCGTGGTTGAAAAGAAGGTGCTTTGGGAAATATCTCATTAAAGAAAACCTTTTCCCTTTTTTTTCTTATTTAATAATGATATAATATTGCTTCTGAACAACCCAGCCATTTCTATTCCCCATGGACGCAGCTGTTTAATGGCAGACAAATTAAGATTTATGAACCAAGTCAAGCTGGATATTAATGTCTGCCATCACAAACAAAACAAAGACATCGATGGATAGATATGTAGAAAAACAAAACCAGTAAGAAAAAAAGAGTCGGCGTCAGCGAGAACACCTTCACATTTAGAAAGAAAAGAACATTTTTTTTCTCATTCGACTCAAGCTTAGGCTTCTTATCATGGTTCACCCATTTCCCTGCAGTCTTTGGCCTAGCTCCAATTAAAGACCTCTCCATTGAACTCTATGGATTGAATGCAAGGCTACCCTTCCTGAGCCCAAGCATTGGTCATTTTCTCAGCTTTGGAAAATAATTACAGCTATGAAGCTGATAAATAGCAGTTGTGCTACCTTGTACCCTGGGATTTGAGTATCACATTTCCTAAAAGATGATTTACTCATAGTTCCTTTCATTTAAGCAATCAGTTTGTGAGCAACAACACATGCCTGGTAAAAATAACAACACTGCTGTGGTGCCACTTCTGTCATTTCCAACTTCAGGCTTTGTTTATAGCCTAAGGACTTGAATGGCACTGTCTGATTAATTAGCACAATTGTTTGCTTGAGAAAGCTGTTGTGATTGCTTTTTATTTTTCTTTGATTGTTGCTTGAATGCCAATCCTGCTGTTTTAACTTTCTCACAGACGGTCAGAAACAGGAAGTGAGGGTTGGTGGCGGTGCATCCAGAGAGTGCTTCTTCAATCTTTCCCCCAACACCCAGTACAAGATCAGCGTCTACACTCTCTTACTGGACACAGAGGGTCCTGTTGTCACCACCATGGCGACAACCGGTAAATACACTCTGATAACTGTATATTTTACGCCATTATAAGACTATAGACTTCAATCAGGGTACACACCATAATTAATTGTGAATGAAGATGAGATTGTGAAGGACACAGTCTGTTCAGTTGGTTGTACTGTTGTCCATCCCTCATAACCTCGTTTTTAGTTGTGGTGGATTAAATATGGCATCTGTCCTTAAAGGGGGCATAACACACACAGTTTCACCCAATCTCATGTTAATCTTGAGTACCTATAGAGTAGTACTGCATCCTTCATATCTCCAAAAAGTCTTTAGTTTTATCATATTTATAAAAGAAAGATACAGCTTTACGATTCTCTCCGGAAAAAGCCGAGCTCCTGGAGGCGCGCCGTGGGCAGAGCTAAAGAGTGACGAGCACTTGGGCGCCGAATGCCAACAAAACAGACATTTGATGCTGTTTCACTTACCGTCTGCAGTTCTGAATCATGACTGGGATCTTTTATAGCTGGGACCGCCCCATCTTTCAGTATCAAGCGATGTGCAAATCCAGCGTCGAACTGGGCCTTGTTTATAAAATGTTCGTCAACACAAACACTTGTGAAACTCCTTTGCTACCCCGGAAAAACTAACTGTATCCACTGTTTACATAACGCTGGGTTTTTTAGGAAGCTGAACAAAGTTATCTTTCCCTTACAACCAAAAACACACTTCTTTGGATTGGAGACATTCTTCCCGAGCAAGTCCCGTGCAGCGCTGCCGCCGGATGAAGTGCGTTGATGGGCGCGCTCTCGCTCTTGCTCTGGTCGATGCGTGCGCGGGCGCATTCTTCCGGGAGAAATGCCCATATAAGGAGTTCCACCCTCGTTTACGTCATTAAGAGCCACTATAGAAAAAAACTCTCTGAAACTTGTACGAACCTGGAAGTAAGATTTTTGGCACAGAAATACTCTGTCATACGTCAAAATTGTTTTTTGAAATTTTGTCCATCCAACTCTTTAACAGTGTAAACAACTCTGAATGCATGAAACAGCATTGTACCCCCCTTTAATAAGAATTACTGGGGTGTTAAATTAGGTCAGACACTAAACCTCCCTGGGGTCTTTTAGGCACCAATAAAACACCTGAAGGTGACTTAGTTTGTTGCCTTTGAGTTACAAAACAATCTTTGGATAGCAGATACGATTATTATTTTATTTGCCATCAGTGTTATCTAGAATGTGTGGAAGCCCTTTGATGCAATGGAATAAAAAAAGTTAAGCTTTATGTCACAGAATTCACAGTATTTTTTTTCTTCTCAGAACTGTTTCATGTCTCGCGATTGTTACATCACATATCACATTTTTTTTCTCATAATTATGAGTTTACATCTTGCAGTTAGGATCTTTAAAAGGCATAAACAGATGTTACAATCCAGCATTTACGTTTTTATGTTTTCTTTTTCTGTAGCAGAAATTGGCTTCCGTGAGACTGACTGAAGTTCATAAACAGCATTCATAAACAGAAAAATACGATTTTAACAGCTGAAAATCTAATTGTCATTTGCAACAAAAAACAAAGATGTCAATATGTGACCTCGTCAAATTAGATCAACATTCTTTTATCATGATTCTCTACTGTGAAAAAAAAATTAGCTATCCCCATTTACTAAGTCTTGTCTTAAGTGCTAATCTAATCGTAAATTTTAATTTGCCTAATTCTTTCAAAATGACTCTTATTTATTAAGTATAAAATATTATATCAAACTAATATTTGATATATATATATATATATATATATATATATATACAGTATGTGTGTGTGTGTGTGAATCTAATTTATTAAATATAAATATTACATTTTATAATAAAAATATATAAACATGCTTACATTTTTATATTGTGAATTCAGGTTAATTGGGACATTTCTGCCCAGTCACCTAAATGGCATACATTTTCCCAATTTACCTGAATTCAACCAATATATGCATATACTATATCAAAGAACCCTGGGGGAAAAAATCATGGTGTATCATGGTTTAAGAAGCAGCACAACTGTTTGCAACACTGATAATAACAGCAACTCAACATATTAGAATGATTTCTGAAGGATCATGTGACACTGAAGACTGGAGTCAGTAATGACCGTCACAAGAATAAATTACGTTTTAGAATATATTAAAATAAAAGTCATTTTAAATTGTAATAACATTTTAAAATATTTATTTTCTTTTTCATTTTTACTTTTTTGCAGTTTATGGGGATTATACACTGTAATAGTTTCAGTATATATAACTCACATGTTAGCGTGTCAATTAGGCAGTAGTAACTCTTCAATGATACAGGTCATTTCCAGCCAATGAAGTGCAGACAACGTCTTCCCTTGATACACTCAATCATTGCCTGAGAAACAGATTGAACCACCATCAGTAGAGCAGTGTGTCCTTTTTCTTTTACAATTGGGTTTCCGTTGAGATCCCAAATCTGATTGTGTGTGTAATAAAGTGAAGACAGCCAGGCCCTGCTCTGGTTTATGTATTGTTTTGTTGTTTCTGCAGCTCCAGCACCCACCCAGCCACCGACCGCACCACCCACCACCATCCCTCCTCCCACCATCCCCCCAGCCAAAGAAGGTAGGACACCAGTGTGGGAAAAACTGGCCTGTCTGCCATTGTTTTTCCCTGTTTGTTGGCCATGTCCCTATGTGTTGTGTGACCTTTCTCTAACGCACATCTCTGCTGACAGCTAACCTTTTCTTATTCTCGGAGCCACTCCACACTCAATAAATATGTCTGAGTCTTCACAACACATCTGATAAAAGCACACAGAACTTATTTAACCTCCTTATATAGATCTTTTTTAGATCCCTCATTTCAAACTTTATAGTGAACATATTGGTTTCATTATCTGGCCAAAAGCTTATGGTGTTTAATGCATCATAAAGTCACACCTGAATAATTTCTTGCCCTGAAACTAAATGCTTCTTTAGATTTATTTGTTAGTTTTATATGGCTTTATCTCTGGGGTTTGGCCCTGCATGTCACACATTACTCTTATTAAGGATAGGTCACATAGTAAAAAGTGAAACATTTCCTACCTTAAAAGTTTAATTTAGTCCATGTGTTTAGTTCTTGGATGAAAGTGTGATATGCCTCACAAACTTGCTGTTTTAATAGGTAATATGTCAGCGTAGAAAAAAAAGGGGGATTTTAATCAATACCGGTGAGTCTAATGAGTCTGTTTACGTAAAAGATTCAGTCAGATTTAAAAGCAAAGCTGAATTTTCAGCAGCCATTTTGGAAACCGTGATACATTTTTGATCCTTTGAGTAATAGAAAATTTTCATTCATTTCAAATATTTGAAATCTTTTGTAACATTGAAAATGTCACTTTTGATCAATTTAATGCACCCTGCTGAAAAAAAACAACAATGATTTTGTCTCTAAAATAATAATAGTTGACATTTTATGGCTATTAGGGAGCATTATTTATTTATTTATTATGAATTAATAACCCAATTTGTTACAATTCACAGAGTTGTTCATGACCGAAACAATCCATTTATCTCCTTGTTCTGAATGAGATTGACAAACTGAACAAGATGTCCCAATTTGTACACTAATGAAACTTGCCAGTTCATTCAAGTTGTTTGCGAGCACAATGCTTGATTCTTTTAGTTTATTCACAAACAATGTGTCTTGTTCAGTGCCATTCTTGTTCAGACTCAAAACAGCGACTCATCCAACCAATGAAATGCTCCAAACACTTAACAGTACAGACTTTTGAGGTTATGCCTTTATTTTAAGGCATACAATGTTACAGTGCAATTACACAAAGAAGTACTGGTAATACTAATTAACTACATGTCCTATGTACTTACTATAGGGTTAAGTTTAAAGTCTGATTAGGGTTTGTTGCTTAACTATGCATAATTTGTAGTTATTTATGTAGTAAGTATGTGGCATTTAGCACTTAATTTAGCACTTATTTAAATAGACTAATTTATTAAGATTGATTCAGTCACTAAATCATTTTGACTTGAATAAAACCAGTTAGATGTTAGTACATAAAGCACATTTTCAGGTAACTGACAGTGTATGTGTTTAGCCCTAAATCCTGCAAAGCACCAGTCTGGCAGAGTATAGCAGAGGTATCTGGGAATTAATTAAGCCTCCTTGTTTTATCCAGCTAGCTGTGATGGAGATCCTGTCAGTGAGAAAGGAAGCGTTTGGAATCATTTGACATCTGTTGTACTGCAGCGCTTACACAGTAATGAGAATTTCTTATTTTAGCTAGTGATTTTTCACCTGCTTCCTCTCTCTCTCTCTCTTGCTCTGTCTTCGAACTTTCTTTCTCAGTTTGCAAAGCAGCCAAGGCAGACCTTGCCTTCCTTGTAGATGGCTCCTGGAGTATCGGAGATGACAACTTTCAGAAGATTATCCGTTTCCTGTACAGCACAAATGGTGCACTTGATGTGATTGGCCCCGAGGGAACACAGGTATGCTGCATGTGAAATATTTGTCAAATTCAGTCTTCTTCATATTGTTTTTATTTGTTTACATTGTATAACTTTTCTAACATTTTAATGAAAAAAAGACTATCATGCTGAGCTAAAAGCAAAATTGTAAGTGTGTAATTTTGTCAACACAGAGCAAACTGACTGTTTTTTGAGGGCACGAGTACTTATTACAGGAAATTATATACTTAAAGGGGTCATATGATGTTTGCTAAAAAGAACATTATTTTGTGTATTTGGTGTAATGAAATGTGTTTATGCAGTTTAAGGTTAAAAAAACACATTATTTTCCACATACTGTACATTATTGTTTCTCCTCTATGTCCCGCCTTTCTGAAATGCGTCGATTTTTACAAAGCTCATCGTTCTGAAAAGCGAGGTGTGCTCTGATTGGCCAGCTATCCAGTGCGTTGTGATTGGCCGAATACCTCAAGCGTGTGACGGAAATGTTACGCCCCTTACCATACTGAGACAAAAACATTAAAACCCATTATAAACGAGGCATTTGTTGCATCCAGTGGGGACAAAATTACGGATTATAATGACTTATACTGTCTTTTTACACGTTGTGTTGCATCGCGCCGCGTAAACATAAAACCATGTCTGCATTTGTGATCGGAGAAATAACAGAAATCTGAATATTTGGGTTGAACTGTTCTGGAACAGTGTTGTAAATACAACTTAACCACTGATTTCTAGTCGTGTCCTCTTTTGGAAGGCCAAACAAAGTAGTTTCGCTTTCACATCGAAACACACGGCGGGCTAGAGTGAGCGGAGGCCGGCTTGAGTGAGCTGAGGCGGGCGGGCTTGCGCCAACCACATGTGACAACCCCGAGCTGAACTCTGCTTCATCCACAGTGAAAGCCGATCTGGCGATCCACAGCGCAAAGTTGATGTATTTCCTCAGCAACCAGCACGGATCAGCTCTAGGCATGACGAAGCAGATATCGTCCTCTTTTGGAAGGCCAAACAGACGTTGCTTTCACAACGAAACACAGCGCCTTCACAACATGGCGGCAGCGGCAACAACAAGAGAATACAAGTTACACCTTCTTTCTTCGCATGAACATTTGGGCGGCGTTATGCAAATCTTCCCACATTGTGACATAGACATGTGGGGGCGTGTTAGAACGAGCCGTTGTAGGTAGGCGTGGCTGACTCTTAACTTTTATAAAGAATATCTCTTTTGATTTGAGACTTTAGTCTTTGCAACTTTGAAATCGCATCATATGACCCCTTTATTGTTTAAGAATTTACTTAAAATAATAGTTTACCCCAAAATGAAAATTTGCTGACAATTTACTTACCCTCAGGCCATCCAAAATGTAAAAGAATTTCTTTCTTCATTGGAAATCAACAGATTTGGAGAAATGTAGCTTTACATCACTTGCTTACTAATGGATGCTCTGCAGTGAATGGGGTGCCGTCAAAATGAGAGTTCAAACAGCTGATAAAAACATCACAATAATTCACAAGTAATCCACACGACTTGACTCACTTTTTTTTTTTAATACTGAAAGTGTACTTGTAGTGTACCTACACTACACTACACAACACTTTCAGTATTAAAAAAAATAAAAATAAAAAATAAAAATAAGCATACTTATTTTTCACAAGGAACAGATCTGCGTTAGAATTTTATATAAAAAATAAACCATTAATAGCCTAATATAAATTTGCAGAGTTATGTCATGTGCCATGTGGGCACTACAGATTGAGAAGCTCTGTTTTTGAACTTATAATGTCTGGTTTGCGTTGAGGCATCATGGGAATAGCTATTCTGGGCTAGAGACCACGCTACCAAGCATTTAACCCAGTAGCCTGAGAGAACATTAGATAAAAATAGCCTTTGTCTAGACTTGTCAGTCCAGGATTCAGAAGATCTTCATCACAACCCATCAGCAGCTTTACGGATCACAGCAGTGGACCCATTACAAGGGATGTGAAAACTGGAGAATAAGCACGTTTCAAGGGCAGGAGCTAAAGTAAACAGAGGAAGATGGCACGGATAAAACATCTTCTTTTACACACAGATGTTTGCGTTCTGTCGTCTGCTGTAGGCCATGTAGATATGTTTGACTTGGCTCAAACTGGTTCAACATCAGCAAACTCAATTTCAAACAATTTCAAATAAATGCTGTTCTTTTAAAAACTGAAATTCATGAAAGAATCCTGAAAAAAAAGTATCACGGTTTCCACAAAAATATTAAGTAGCCCAACTAATACACTGACATTGATAAAAATAAGATATGTTTCTTGAGCATCAAATGAGCATATTAGAATTCATTTTGAAGGATCATGTGACACTGAAGACTGGAGTAATGATGCTGGAAATTCAGCTTTGACATCGCAGGAATGACATTTTAAAATATATTAAATAGAGAATTTATGTTATAATATAATACAATATAAATATATAATATAAATATAATGATTTAAACAGTATTAAAGTAGGTTAAAAATATAGTATGCCTCTATAAATGTACAGAAATGCCATTTAAAGTCAATTCTAGGGGGAAATACTTTCTGACATTGATGTACTGTTACTTTTAAACATGTGATAAATGGCTACTAACTTACTTTCTACGACTGACAGGTGGCCATTGTTCAGTTCAGTGATGACGCCAGAACAGAGTTCAAACTCAGCTCCTACAGCGATAAGGAGGCTCTGCTGGACGCCGTGCAGCGCATCACCTACAAGGGAGGAAACACCAAGACAGGCATGTATCTCAATCCTCAGACTGAATTAAACGCCACTGACAGCTGCTCTTGTGATGGACAAACTGAGTTTAATCACAATCTTCTCAAAGATCTCTGTGCACACAAACATTCTACTATCTATCTATCTATCTATCTATCTATCTATCTATCTATCTATCTATCTATCTATCTATCTATCTGTCTATCTGTCTATCTGTCTGTCTGTCTGTCTGTCTGTCTGTTCATCTTCTGATTCTATTATACTCATTCTGCCAATTATTATCATTTGCTCATTCTATAATTTATATTATTATTCGCTCATTCTATTGGTCATTCTATCACTCATTCTATCATTGACTCATTCTGTCATTCAATCTACTGTTTGCACATTCTATCATTTTATCCATCCATCCATCCATCTATCTATCTCTCATTTGCTCACTCTCTTGTTTGTTTTATACTAGTCTCATCTGGCCTGCACTGCATTACAATCTTTAATCTTGTCAATATTTAAAACTCCTTCAAACTTTCTGGCCAAACTTTCTCAAGCCAACATCAAAGTTTGTCTTGACCATTTTATAATTTACTACAGTTCAAGATATATTCTCCAAAAACAAGTTTAAATATTAAGTTTCCTTATCAAATTAATGTATCTTATTTTAAGTATGTTTAGATATTTTTACTGGAAAACCGGACATAAACACTAATAAACAATTGTTGTTGTTTTTTGTCTGAAGGTAAATTGGCCTTTAAACAGTCAAAGCCAAGGAGACAAATATTAAAGTTCTTCTCTAATAGCCGTAATGGTTTTCCTGGTGAACAGCAAGCTAGTCCACAAGATAGATCTGGACCACATTATATCTAGACCACATTACATAAACCAAGTTCTGCTGTACCATTTTGGAAATTCATGCTGGTCTTGTAATGGGTGACCAGATTTATTAATAATACTTTTGATAGAAATTCTTTAAGAAAACCTAGACCAAGAACTTCATAGTACGAGTTTGAAAAGCGGCACAGCTCCATCTCAGTGAGCAGCAGAGCAGCATGGTGTGTCCCTGCGCTTGTGTTCATGCTGTCTTGCTGTGAGTCTTTGTTCTAAAATGAAACACCTTTCATTCCACATGGCGGAGGAACGGCAGCCCCCACCCTGCTGTGTCCTCACACACAAAAACGTCCTCGTATAAGGTATATTCTCCATGGCAATGAGCCCCCCATCAGGGGGTGGGCGGCAGTTGCTGTGCCTCATTGGTGAGAGCAGATACATGTCTGTGGACATGTGTGATCCAGGCATTATGAGCCCGGTGCATTTATCCATCCCGGCTTTACTGGGCTGCTCATTTGAAACATGAACATGACTTATTTTCTGAGGGTATTAGGGCTAATCCCTTGCCTGCATTTTCATACATTCATATGCAGAGGATGAGGTGAGGATCAAAGTGATTGGCCTCATTCAATGTGTTTAAACTCAGAAAAAAGAGAAGTAATTTCTGAGTATTAAGACGGTCTGTATGTTTCTCTGAAATTACTTTGGAAAATATTTAAATGGGATGATGTTGTTTTGATGTTCAAAGTTTTCAGATTTTTTTTTTCTTCAGTTTTACCTGATGGTATAGTAGATTTTTGTGGCCTATGGCATGATACTAACCCACATATTTTCACATTAGTATATTAAAGGAATAATTAATAATGAACATTTTGTAATTATTTACTCTCATTCCAAACTCATATGTGTATCTGTGGAACACAAAATGTAATTTTTGAATGATCTTTTTACATTTGTTTTTTATATGTTAATGTTATTTATTAAAAGTAATATAATATTATAATTGTGTAACAAATCAGCTCATGGGAAATATGAATAATTAATCATAACTAGTTATAATTAATTATGAATATTTTAGATCCGCTGTAGATATTTAGCTGACCTCTCAGAGTCAACTGTCTTGTCAATTCTAAGAACGTTAATTTCCTGGTTAAGGGAAATAACTTCCTTACTGTACAATTCTACAAAAGCTTGTAGCATAAATCTGCATGATTAAGTGACTCCAGTTATGAGCAAACAATGAACCACGTCAAGTGTGATACAAGTAGGGTTTTATTAACTACAAAAAACATTTAAACTAGTCTAACATTCTACATAAACACATAAACTGGTCTAACACACACATACACACACACACAGTTTGTATAGGAAAGGGTTAAAGCTTAACCCTTTAAAGAGAAGAGAAATAAGAATATGAAGTTATTGAACCATTTGCATATTCAGCAGATTTACACCTGAGGGAAACATCAGATTCTTAGTTCAAACACACCTTTGTAAAAAGGTGCAGATGATACCTAATGTATCAATTAATAAGACTAAATTTGAATACTTGCAAGGCTGGTCTGTCTGAAAGAAAGGCTTAATGCAATCTGAAAGTCCCAGTGATCTTTGCTGAAGTTGGTTGATGAAAAAGAAACAATTTGAGTCAGAGAATCTTGTTGAATGGAGAAGACAAGGCTCTGAGGGGTGTTACAGAGTATTTGTTAAATCTAGCTAACAAAATATATATTGTGTGTTTGATTGGTCCAGACACTACAATTGTTTATACTTATTTATTTAAATATTAATTATCTTTGTATCTAAAAGAGCTATAAGAGCTATATATGAACAATATCACACGAGTAGCAGTGCAATATGGCTGTATATCAGCACGGCTGTGATTTGCTGATATATCACACAGCTACGAGTGTGACATTGCGTTTATACAACAGTTTGATGGAATGAGTGTGTAAATACATAAGAAAAACAATGGAGTGTCTCTAAAATCCCTCTTTTGTGCGAAACTACTTTCATCTGCCACAGATTAAAATCTCAGTTTGACAGTTTAACAGCTGAGCCCAAATCTCTGTTACTAATTCGAAAACGTCACTTCAGAACTAGTAACGAAGGAAAGTTAAGTTGCTTCATTAAATACTTATTTTATTACTGTATTAACAGCTCACTGTATTATGTAGCACAGGGGTGTCCAACCCTGCTCCTGGAGAGCTACCGTCCTGCAGACTTTAGTTCCAACCCTGCTCCAGCACACCTGTCTGTAATTATCAAGCAACCCTGAACACCTTGATTAGCTGGTTCAGGTGTGTTTGATTGGGGTTAGAGCTGAAATCTGCTGGATGGTAGCTCTCCAGGAGCAGGGTTGGACACCCCTGATGTAGAGTATTATGAGAGGGAGATGGACTGAGCGAGTGTGATTACCTGCATCTGATACAGCATTCATTCTTCAGCTCAATCTCATATTCACAATAAAACATTAGTTTCAATATCCGCTGAGGAAAGCAATACCTTTGTCATACTTCCATCTGTTTAGGGTGATTTCCGATGACAGTGTTGCTCAGTGCATTTGTTTGCTGTCTTACAAGGCGTTGTTGAAAGTAAAAATAACTTCCTTGTTTACAACCCTGTTTCAGTGTCCTTCAATATAAAAGTCTTTACTCCTGACTCACAGTCGCCATCTAATGGCAGAATAATGTTACTAAAATCACCATCACAAACACACACGGTTTCTCAATACTAAATGCTATTAAATACTACTAGTATTATTTATATAAAATATTATTTATTGAATAATAATATTTAATAACAACAGCCATCATAAAAGTCATAAAAGTTGCTACGCAATTCAGTCAAAAGTACAAAGGCAGCGCTCTGATATCCATCATTAGAGTTATATAAAATAGTAAATAGTCTAAAACTTTAGACTTTGCTCTCAGCCAAAACTATTTGCTCTGGAACAAATAATATGGTATAATAAAAGGTGTAGACCCTGGTTTAAACTCACCACGTCAGCACGAGCTCGAAGGTGTGCGCTGCGTGCGGTAAAAATGCGGCGAATACTGAGGAAATGATGGGAGACGGAGGATTTGGTTTTCAAGCTCAGGTAAAGTAAAAGACTGCTTCTTAAACCAGAGGTGGTGAACATGTTGGTATTCTTGTGGGAAAAAACATGCAAGTCCTGTCACCGACAGCCAGTTTAGTTTTACTTTTGTTTTTGTTTTGAAAAGCTTGCTATCTTTGCTGATTACCTGACGTTACGCTATGGAGGCTTTCTTTAATTTTTTTTTTGTGTGTTTGCTAAAATTTTATAATTTATTAATCATTATATAATACAGCATGTGGTGTATACCATGCCTCATCTGACTAGTTTTTGTTAATAAACGTTATGTAAGCTAGTTTGTAAGCTTGTAGCCTACTGTTTTATTGTTATTGTGCTTTTTAATTAAGAATAACAATGAATCCATCTTTTGTGTTTTAGTCTTAAAAAGTGAAAGGTGTATAGATATAACTAATATAAGTAAATATGTATATATTATTATTATTATTATTATTATATAAGCAAAACAGACAATTATCTTTTCTTGCAAAATGTAACACTAAGATCGCAAATTCGATTAGCTTATAACACAGCACAAGAGGAATTTCTATTCACAAAATTCAAATCACAAATAATAATGTTGAAAAAGAACGGGTTGAATGTTGAACACTTGGGTTACCATACACCATGATAAAAGTTCATCAGCATGCATTGATTAAAAGGTGAAATGTTTGGAGTTCTGTTATCACTAGATTATCACACTGCTGGAGAACACACACACACAGCATTTATGTCAAATTTTATACATTTTTGTTCCTCAGAACAAAGAAAGTCATATGTGTTTATACAACATGAGTGAGTGTGAGGGTTCTAGTTGATTTGTACTCGCTAGTCTCCACTCAAACAAGTCGGTTCAGAATGAAAAGTATTAGCCGAAGCTCACAAACACAAATGAACAGTCAATGCACACTTTGACTGATGCTGCAGTCAAGATGTCTTGTTCATCTGTCAGTCAAACAGCAGTGCTTTTGCCCACGTCAACTCGAGGCCACAGTTAGACACAACTCCAATCTGCAGTCGAAATTCTTTTGTTCTCACCTGTTATTTTAAAACAAAATAACTCCCACTTCACACGGTGCTGCCGTCTGCTTCCTTAGTCTGTCATTTGTCTCCTTCTGACAGGAGCTGAAGAAAAGCCAGACAGAAAAACAGGCAGCTTCAGAAGTCAGTCAGGCATAGCCACAAGGTCCCCTTGTTCAGTTCGGTGCAATGTATCGCCAAAGTGCAGCATCTCAGACGCCCGTCTATATTTTATTCAGACTGCAGCTTTTGTGAGGGGATTGTGTCTAATACTCGCTGATCCAGGGGAACCTGAGACGTTTCTGAGAGATTAGAGATGCAAATCAGAAATGAGCAGCCCGGCTGATGTCTTGCAGCCGCAGTGCCATGTTGGTGATAATGGTAAAATATTGAAATGGGGGCAATGCAGCTTGTTAGATCCCATAGATCAGGTCGGCTGGGACTCGTCACGGAAAAGTGCTTTGAAAATTCATTTCATCAGGGGTCTGACTTTGTTTTGCTCTGTGCTAAATACTTGGCGCTTTGTGAGCTTAAAAATAGTAGGTGAGACCAGCTCACACAATTTTCGTAACCCAACTAGATGCAAATGAAAGTGTAAGTGCATTTGTAAAGCGTACACAAAATAAAATACATTTGTTAATTAATGACAAAAGTTGTTCAACTTTTCCAACAAATTCCTAAAAGGAAAATAATAATAATAATAATATTTAAAAAATAAATACATTTGTATTTAGAAAAACTGTATTTAGATAATTATATTAAAAAATATATAATATATAATTAATAAAAATTATACATTATTTACTAGATTATTTACTTAGCAAAAAAAAGTATCACAAAATATTATTTATTTATAATTTTACATATATTATTCATAATTATTATTACCTTTTTTAAATAATTGTTTATATAATGGGTTTAAGCCTTTTTAATGAATTAAATAACGACTAGGGAAACGTTCCCTCTCACACTCTTTTCATACATTTTGTTTGTCAGGTTGTATAATTTATTGCAGGCTCCAAAATGTACTTAACTATTTGAATATTTGTTTTGATACAGAAAAAAATGTATAATAATTGAAGGAAAAAATTGAAGGAAAAGTTACTTTCAAATCAGCGTATTAAAATCTGTGTGGCTCAAAAGGGCAAACATTCAGATGTTATTTCTCCTAATACAAATCTTTACCAGAAATTTACTCTTTGTCTGCCAACTCTTCTAGCCAACCAACACATTTCCCCTAATCAAAAGCAAACACTTTACTGAGAAGACGTACCACAAAGCCAGACTAACTGTTGGATAACTTTAACAACCTCATAGTGTCCTGGCAGAATCATACGAATAGTCATGGCATTTTCTGTTTTGCTTAATTTTTTTTTAGACTGTAAAAACACAATGAATCAGAAACCACTCGTCATAGCAGCTTCATTTTCACACCATTTCCAGGAAATGGTTTATGAATTCACACCTTTCAGTAATTATTTATTGTCAAAGGTTTTGTTCTTTCACCTCATTGATCGTCATTCCAGCTCTCCGCAGGAACTGGCATAATGTTTCAACAAAATATATCTCTCTGGCAGATGCAAATCACTCTGTCAGGATGCAAGTTCCTGTAAAATCCATCACTTTTTGGCATCCCAGAGTCCGTGAAGTGGTGTAAATCCTGCTCCTGGCATGAGACAGTAACATCTATGTTTATGACTCTTGATTCAGGTCGAGCCATTAAGCATGTGAAGGAGGCCATCTTTGCTGAGGACGCGGGCGTAAGGAGGGGCATTCCTAAAGTGCTGGTGGTGCTCACGGATGGGCGATCTCAAGATGATGTCAACAAGATCTCTAAGGAGATGCAGATGGAGGGTGAGCGATTTCATTTTCATGTTGTATGAATCTAAAAATGAGCATAATAAACAGCAGCTGTAGTGGTTTGGTTGTTAAAAATATAACTTTAAATGCTGTAATAAAAGTAATGCTTTCTTGTTTCACCGTAGGCTACATTATCTTTGCCATTGGCTTTGCTGATGCTGACTACGGGGAGCTGGTGAACATTGCCAGCAAACCAAGCGAGAGACATGTGTTCTTTGTGGACGATCTGGATGCCTTCAAGAAAATTGAAGAACAGCTCATAACTTTTGTTTGTGAGGCTGCGACTGCCAGTACGTCCCTTTGAGAATCCACAGAAACTTCCTCTTGCAGTTTGCTGTGACATGTGGTAGAGAACTTGCTAGCTTTAATATGCTTACATGCTACACAATAAGAATATTAAGGACGCCAATTGTCATTGAATTTTTTATTAAGTGACATTCTTGTGCTAGAAGATATAGTCCCTGATTTAACAGAACAGTGTCTGTATTTGAGAATAGCTAGGATGACATATTGACCAATCAGAAACCAGAACCAGAACTGTCTTGTACAAGTAATGTTATACTTTCAAGACATTTTATTGTGTTTGAAACACTCATTTACAATAATCATGTTTACTATCGACATATACTAATGATGACAAGTCAAGTCAGTTTTAGACCAATCAAATTATAAACTGCTGAATCAAAGTATTTGTGGCTTGTTGCTGGCCAGACTACATTAAATCAATGCATTCAACTGTCCCAGTTTTGAGAGCAGCACCCACATCTCAAAATCCACGATCAATACATAGAACCAAGTTCAAGCGCATTTTTTTCTTTGTCAATAATGTTACACTTGAATGTATGTCACAGTATGGAAGAAAAGATCTGTCGCTACTTACATTTGATTGCAACTTTAAGATTAATTATACTGTCAAAACAAATCAGAAGTTGATGGAACAAATGGGTTTTAAAATGATGAAATAAGGTTGCTATCTCAGTATGTTAGTATGTCACAATGCTGTGGATAACATTAATTATTCAATTACTACACAAACCTCTGGAATACTCTGATTGGTCAAACATATTTTTAAAATAATGCCCACTAAACAGTACGATTGACCAGTGTCCTTGGCATGTTTGCTAGTCAACATTTGAAGATAGGTAAGCAACGACTTGCGATATGATGAATAAAGTTTGAAGACTTTTTAGATGGCAGGGTAATTACTTTTGGATTACTTTAAGTTCTTTGCTCTTTTGTTCTCTTAAATCATCCCTTGTGAGTTTACGTCAAGTCTAAAATAAAAGTTTGAAGTTTGAAAATGGTCTCTGAACAGAAAAAAATATTTGAATGCATCATTATGTAACCTATAATTTCCCAAAATCACTTTGTTCTTGGGGAATTGATAGGCTTTACACTCTGTTCTATTTTCTTTTACAGCTTGCCCCTCGATGTTAATGAGCGGGAACACTTTAGCAGGTAAGACAACAATAAATGCTCCTGGGTCAAACTAACCTCTCCATCATTGTGCTGGGTAGGAGGATAGGATCTAAGGCTTTATTTGAAGAATTAGATCTATTCATCCACTGTCAGTATTTAACAACCCCTTTACTTAATTAGGAGCAGTGGGTCATGTTATTCACACCATAATCTAGATCTGGAAGAAAGAAAAAAACACACTTAATTTTCCTTTTCACATGGCCTGTCTCTTAATAGATGGACAAACATACTGTTGCTTGAGCCATTGTTGCTATTTCAATCAAGTTTTTGCCATATTCCATATTTGCCAAGCTTTTTTTTTATTATAAATATTTATAAAAAATTTTATTTTGTATGATATAATAATATATTCATATGTAATATATTTGTAATATTTATAATCTAATGTATAATATAGAAATCTGCCATAGGAAAGTCTTTCAACATTATTAAGACATCGAAATGCAGGCCACTGAATGAATCACTCTTTCTCATTTCAATTTTTTTTTATTTATTAATTTCCTAAAATTTGATGTACACACACTACTCGCTAAAAGTTTGAGGTCAGTAAGATTTTTATTTATCTTTTATTATTATTATTATTAAGATTTTTACTTATTTTAATAATTGTATTTATTTATTCTATTCAGTAAGGATGAATTAAATTGTCCAAAAGTGACAAGAACATAGTTTTTTTTTTTAAATATTGTTAAAATATTTTTTTCTCAAATAAATTTCTATTCACCAAAGAATCCTCAGAAAATATTTCATGGTTTGCACAAAAATATTTAGCTGCTTTTTTCCAGCTATTTTAACTTTTGATAATAATGTTTGTTGAGCACCAAATCAGCATATTAGAATGATTTCTGGAGGATCATGTGACGCTGCTGAAATTTCAGCTTTGCCATTACAGGAATAAATTATGTTTTAAAACATATCAAAATAGAAAACTGTTATCTTAAATTTCAATAATATTTTACAATATTACTGTTGTGTTTACATTGTATTTTTGATCAAACAAATGCAGCCTTGGTGAGCATAACATACTTTTTTCAAAAACACTTTAGTATAGGGACCAATTCTTACTATTATCTACAGTAGTTGCTTATTAACATGCCTATTATTATCATATAGGCTGTTTATTAGTACTTATAAAGTGCAAGCATAAAGTTCTGCAAGACCACATTCTACATCCCTAATACAGTACCTAAACTTAACAACTACCTTACTAATTATTAATGAGCAGCAAACTAGGAGTTTATTGAGGCAAAGTCGTAGTTAGTGATTTGTTAATTGCGAGAACTGGACATTAAAATAAAGTCTGATAAAAAAAATCATACCGACCTCAAAACGTTAACCGTTACTGTTTCGTTAAAATAGCATACTTCACATTTATCCGTTGTCCTTTGCAGGCTTCCGTATGATGGAGATGTTTGGTTTGGTGGAGAAGCACTACAGCAGCGTGCAAGGTGTCTCACTGGAGCCTGGGACTTTCAACAGCTACCCCTGCTATCGGTTGCACAAGGACGCCCTCGTCTCTCAGCCTACCAGGTGTGTGTGTGTGTGTGTGTGTGTGTGAACTGTGTTTCTGTATGTATGAAAGCGTACCAGCATGCTCAACTGAAACTCTCTGAAATGAGAAAAATCTGTGTTAGCTGTAATATGTCACCTGTCAAATCAAAACCATAATACAGATCAAGTTAATGGAATCTAAATGAAGTGGTTTTAGTGAGCAGGAACCGATTAGCCCCACACTTAAATGCAAAATAAAGAGCGATCGGCCTTCTGTGCCTGCAGAGCACTGACCTTCCTCCTGTCTTGCATGCGATAATATTTAGATTAGGCTTCACTTTCCTGCGCTCAGGGGGAATGTTGTTATTACAGTGGAGGGTTTCAGCGCGAGGGTCTCCTCTCCTGTAAATCTCGCAAACCGCAGCCTCGCTTTAACTCGCACTCAGGCAGCTGGGAATTACTACAACACTGTTATTATGATAATCTCATCTGTGATTATGAGAAAGGCCAAAGACTCACAAGGTAATGGCAGTGCTCTGGATACAGTTCACATTTGTTCTTCAGAGGAGAGTGCTCGTGTAGTAGAAGATCTGTTTTACTGGTTGTGCAGTTTCTTTTTGCAGTATTCAACCATTTAATTGAATATTGATCAGTGTTTATTTTAGTTATTTTTTTTGTTTTATT